TGGGGAAAATCCCTCTATCGAGCGCGGGATGCCCAAATTTTTTGGGCAAGCCCGTGCCCAAAATTTTTCTTTTTTTTTATTTTTTCGCGACGGAATTTTCGTCGCTAAAAGTTGTTCATTAGCAACGGCATTTCCGTCACCATAACTTGAAAAATCCGTCGCTAAAAAATTTTAACGTCGGATTTTTATCGACGGATATTTTCTGTCGGGAAATTAATGGCGACGAAAATTTTTCGTCGCCAATAATACCTTTTCCGTCGGTATAAGTGTATTGCCGACGGAACTATAGCGACGGATATTTCCATCGCTATAAGTCTTCTTATAGCGACAGAAATGTCCATCGCTATAGTTCCGTAGTTAATACTCATATTTCTAGTAGTAAGGCATTGTCTTAGGACATGTAGTTTTCAATAGGGGAATCGAAGTGGACAAAGCTAAGGTAGATCTCATTTCCAATCTTTCTCCTCCCAAAATAGTCAAAGATGTCAGATCGTTTCTTGGTCATGCTGGTTTTTACCGATGTTTCATCAAGGATTTCAGTAAAATTGCTAGACCCTTGACCAATCTCTTAGCCAAGGATACATCATTTGTCTTCTCTCCCGACTGTCTCAAAGCTTTTGAATATCTGAAAAAGGAGCTAACCACAGCTCCTATCATTCATACACCGGACTGGACCTTACCCTTCAAACTGATGTGTGATGCATCTGATTCTGCGATTGGTGCTGTTTTAGGACAACGATTTGATGGAAAACCGCATGTGATCTACTACGCCAGTAGGACTCTGAATGATGCCCAACAAAATTACTCTGTCACAGAAAAAGAGTTTTTAGCTGTAGTCTTTGCCTTAGAAAAATTCAGGTCCTACCTCATCGGTTCCTTAACCAAAGTTTTCACATATCATACCGCACTAAAGCATCTTTTGACCAAAAAGGATGCTAAAGCACGGCTCATTAGCTGGATTCTCCTACTTCAAGAGTTTGACATTCAAATTCTTGACAGAAGAGGAACAGAGAACCCCGTAGCAGATCACCTCTCTCGACTCCCAAATGCACCAACATCAACCGTCTCGATCAATGAACATTTTTCAGATGAACAACTCCTAGAAATCCAATCTGTTCCCTGGTTCGCCGACATTGTGAACTACATAGTCATGAACCAGATCCCTTCTCATTGGTCCAAACAGGATAGATCATGTTTTCTCTCCCAAGTAAAATACTTTTACTGGGATGATCTATATCTGTTCAAATACTGTCCTGATCAGATCTTTAGGAGGTGTGTTCCCACTGAAGAAATTAGGAGTGTTATATCCTTTTGTCATGAGCAAGCATGTAGGGGCAACTTTGGCCCAAGAAAAACAGCTGAAAAAATTCTCCAATCTGGGCTATACTGGCCCACTCTTTTTAAAGATTCATATGAGTTTTGCAAAACCTATACTGGCCCACTCTTTTTAAAGATTCATATGAGTTTTGCAAAACCTGTAACCGCTGTCAGCTTTTAGGGATGGCCACTAGGAGAAATATGATGACTTTACAACCCATCTTATCTGTTAAACTTTTTGATCTGTGGGGTATCGATTTTATGGAACCATTTCCAAATTCCTTTGTAAATGTTTACATTCTAGTAGTCGTTGAATACATGTCAAAATGGGTTGAGACGGTAGCTTGCAAAACTAATGACAACAAGGTCATTGTCAAGTTTTTGAAAGAGAATATTTTTGCACGGTTTGGAGTACCCCGAGCGATCATCAGTGACAACGGTACACATTTCTGTAACCGTTCTTTTGAGGCTTTGATGAGGAAATATTCAATCGCACACAAATTGTCAACTCCTTATCACCCCCAAACCAGTGGACAAGTAGAGGTCACAAACAGGCAGATCAAACAAATCTTAGAAAAAATAGTTAATCATAACAGAAAAGATTGGTCTGTAAAATTATGTGATGCTCTGTGGGCATATAGAACAGCTTTCAAGGCCAATTTGGGGATGTCACCTTACAGACTAGTGTTTGGAAAAGCCTGTCACCTACCAGTGGAGTTGGAGCATCGAGCAATGTGGGCAATAAAACAGTTAAATTTTAACTCAGACTTGGCTGGTAAGAACAGATTGCTCCAAATAAATGAGTTAGAAGAAATTCAAAATGATGCATACATAAACTCAAAAATTTACAAAGAGAAAACCAAGATTTTTCATGACAAATTAATTTTACGAAAAAATTTCTCTCCAGGACAAAAAGTTTTATTATACAATTCAAAATTGCATCTTTTTCCCAGAAAATTAAGATCAAGATGGACAGGTCCATTTTTTATCAAACAAGTTTTTCCGCATGGGGCTGTCGAAATAGAAAATCCTAAAAATGGTAACATTTTTAAAATAAATGGTCAACGTCTAAAACCATTTTTAGAATTTTCTATGCTCGAAGAGGAAGAGGTGTTGGTTCTTCATGAACCTCATTATCTATAAAAAAATAATAAATAAAATAAAATGAAAAAAAAATAATTATAATTTTTTCTCTTATTTGATTTCTTCATCCTCATACTAATAGTAGTTGCAGATTCTTATCATCATTGTCGACCGAACAAATGTAAGTTCTTCAAGTCTTATCTGCTTTACTTTGTGCATCAGCATTCAAGTTCACCTTTTATGATAACTCCAAATAAAATTCTTAAGAAATGTTTTTTCAACTAGTATACTTTACTTAAGTCTTACCTTAGACTTTAAATTAAAATAATGAAATTTTTTGCATGCTTAACTTTGAGTTGAAAATATTTTTTTCAAGTTATCTTGATTTACACATTTTTTCAGACTATATATACTTACACACATATATATATTAAAAAATTAACCTTATAAAAGAAGAGTGCGAAAAATGGGCACGAAAAAAAACTCTTAAATTCAAGGTGATTCTATCTTATAAAACCTAAGTTGACCGAGTAATTAAGCCCAAGGAGTATTTCTATACTTAATGACCTAAGCCCAATTGGGTTGGGATTCATTGGCCCAAAACTCGTTAAATGATTACTTAGAAAGCCCGTTAAAATAGAAAACAATCACCAAGAATTAGAGAGTAAAGAAAAAAAATTTATATATCTATAACACTAACCATATTTTTATATATATATATTGTTATTTTGTATATATGGTCTTGAAAAACAATTTTTGATCAAGAGACTTGAAAGTTATTTTAAACAAAGAGTTAGCATGTTCTTTTCAAAATTTTTAAATTAAATCTCTAAGATTTGACTTGGTTTTGTATTGCTATAATGAAAAAGATTTTCTAAGGGATTTACATTGGAGTTATATATAAAAACATTTTCTCGATTATTAACTAGCTTCTATTAGAATGTCTAAATATATCATGGAAAATTTGTTATTTACTGACTTATTTAAACTTGGCAAGTTGACCAAATTTTGTGGGTATATTCACTGCAAACCCTCACGAGACTACAATTCGTCCACTAGGGTAACCTAGGGGTTTAAAGGCTTGTTGTATGCGCTAAATACAACCGTGATTCCTGCGAAAGTGAGTTAGGATTTTCTTTTTTCTTCTTTGCTAGAGGACTAGCAAAAGTTTAGGTGTGGGGGTATTTGATAATCATATTTTATTGCAATTTTATACCCTCATTATCTATTTTATATGAATAAATATACCACTAATAATTGTTTTTATCTTTAATTGTCAGTTAATGAAGAATAAATCTCAAAACTTTCGCCTCTCAACAAAAAGCCTTGATTTAATGAAGAAATGAAGCAAAGAAGCCTATTGGAAAATCAATTGCCAAATTATCCAAAAGGCCAAAACCAAAATAAGGAAAAATGTCAAAGCCCAAAAGAAGAAAAGAAAAATATATCAAAGCCAAAAGCCTAAGCCCAAAAGCCAAGGAGAAGAGGAAGTTGCGGGCTGAAAAAGGAGAAGGCTGGGTATCGATGCGAGCATCGATACCCGTATCGATGCCCGCATCGATACGGACGTACAGTTTGTTAAGAATCTAAGGCTAAAATTTATTGTTTTTGGATAAGATTTTAATCCAATGACTCTCATTCACTGATGTTTACTATAAATAGGGGTAGAGAGTGAGGGGTTAGGGGAGTGAAAAATTTTGTAACTCCATTTGGAGAGGAGGGCTACTCTTAATTGAGAAAGCCTTCCAAAAATTGTAACTTTTGTTGTAATTAATAATAATAATTTTTCTCCACTTTAAATTTGTTTTTTTTTTCTCCTCTTTGTTGAATGATGAGGATGGAGATGATGAGTAATTTGAAGGTTTGCATTTCTTTTATTTTTCTCTTTTATTTCTTTTTAGTAATTTCTTTATTATTAGTAATTTGAAGGTTTGCATTTCTTTTATTTTTCTCTTTTATTTCTTTTTAGTAATTTCTTTATTATTGATTATTATTTAGATTTAAATTCATGCTTGTAGTGTAGATTTATTTTCTTGTCTTTTTATTTCTTTTTGCACTTTAATTTGTAGAGTAGATT